CCTCTCGGACCCCGGGGCCGTGGTGCTGAGCGGACAGCTCCAGCCTGACCCCGCCCCCCTTCCCTCTCGGACCCCGGGGCCGTGGTGCTGAGCGGACAGCTCCAGCCTGACCCCGCCCCCCTTCCCTCTCGGACCCCGGGGCCGTGGTGCTGAGCGGACAGCTCCAGCCTGACCCCGCCCCCCTTCCCTCTCGGACCCCGGGGCCGTGGTGCTGAGCGGACAGCTCCAGCCTGACCCCGCCCCCCTTCCCTCTCGGACCCCGGGGCCGTGGTGCTGAGCGGACAGCTCCAGCCTGACCCCGCCCCCCTTCCCTCTCGGACCCCGGGGCCGTGGTGCTGAGCGGACAGCTCCAGCCTGACCCCGCCCCCCTTCCCTCTCGGACCCCGGGGCCGTGGTGCTGAGCGGACAGCTCCAGCCTGACCCCGCCCCCCTTCCCTCTCGGACCCCGGGGCCGTGGTGCTGAGCGGACAGCTCCAGCCTGACCCCGCCCCCCTCCTCTCGGACCCCGGGGCCGCGGTGCTGAGCGGACAGCTCCAGCCTGTCCCTCCGCCGCCCCCCTCCCTCTCGGACCCCGGGGCCGTGGTGCTGAGCGGACAGCTCCAGCCTGACCCCGCCCCCCTCCTCTCGGACCCCGGGGCCGCGGTGCTGAGCGGACAGCTCCAGCCTGTCCCTCCGCCGCCCCCCTTCCTCTCGGACCCCGGGGCCGTGGTGCTGAGCGGACAGCTCCAGCCTGTCCCCCGCCCCCCTTCCTCTCGGACCCCGGGGCCGTGGTGCTGAGCGGACAGCTCCAGCCTGTCGCTCCGCCGCCGCACCCCTGCGGTCCAGCGCCGGGGCTGGAGACCCGGGCTGCGGAAGGGTTCCACCCCCCCGCCGTTCCCCCGCCCCTTCCCAGGCCAGCCAGCCACTCGGGTCTGTCCAGTCGGGCCCACGGCCCACTCAAAGTTTGGGGAGCCCAGGGCAGTGAGAGCCCCGGCTCCTCGCCCGCAGCACGACGCTGCTCCTGCGCTCCCGCAAGGGTTAAGGAGAGGCGCGGGGAGAGGCCCGCAGCGCTCCCTGGGCTCCCGCGGCTCGCGCCGAGGCTGTGTCCCCACCTCCCCTCCACCCCACCCCCAATGAGCGGGGCAAGTTTGCGCTTTGCTGGGGGCACTGCTGGGGCCCATGGGGAAAGACCGAGTCTTCTTAAAGGGACCTGCGACTCTGGGCGACGGCTCTGCGGCTCACTTGGGCGGGCAAGAAGTGCTCGTCACAGGCACATGTGTGCGTAGCCTGTCTCAGTTTGGTTCCCCACAAAACAAGCCAACATGTCTACCCTCCTTCCCCTGGAGCTCTGGTTTACGCCGGAGGCAACACGCTCAGGTCAGACCCAGAACTGTTGGTATCACACGGTCATGCACTCCTAAAAGGCTAGTTGTACAGTGTTGCACACATGTCAGGGGTTTGCGGAAGAGGTGTTAAAAATTCATCTCTGAAAATACCTCATGTATTTTAACATTCCTACATTGGGGGAGTGATGAACTCAAGAGAGGGAAAGTCACTGAAAACGTCAGATTCCTTCCAAGGGTCCCTGGGATGTTCATTAGTTAACAGCCTTGCCTAAGTTAGACCAGAGGCAGGTAAAGTTAAGCCTCCTTTCCTTGTTAGTCCAAAGTGCAAATGCCACTGCACACCCAAAAGCTAGTGAGACTCTCGCTTAGAAATAGTCTATGTTGTAAAAGATCAGCATTTCACCTGCTCTTTATTGCTAAGTATTGTGGCATATATGTGAACACTCACCGAGTTAACTGAGACAGTCCACAGGATGCCTTTACTCCCCCACCCACCATGGCCTGATGGGATGGATGCCCAGAGGCCAGTGTTTGGGATGGAGGTTGCTTGGGTTGTTTCTGGGGTCCCTGAGATGTGTCCGTGACCAACTGACTGGACAAAAACATAATGGGAGATAATCAGACACACATGCTCTCCTGGTGCCATCTCTGGCTGTCTGCAACCCCGTGCAGATGACTGAGTAGCAGCAATGTACCGAGTTCTCAGAGCAGCTCACGGCTTCTTGGTGACTTGGCTACTTTTTCTTTGATGCTGAGGTCACTAGAAGTCTTTGTTCTTGGTCCTTGATATACATGCATGTGCATGCATAGGTTCAAATATATCATCATGGTACAATTATGTTTGAAAGTTTACTTGTGCTGTGTTCAATTGAATTATGAGTTGTGAGTTTGTTGTGGAAGTAAAGCAGGCATGTGAATATGTCTGTACCTGCATGCAGTGCGTGGGCCATGTAATACATTTGCTGGAAATGCATAGCTGTTTGCTTGTGTGGGTGTGCATGCCTGGGTATGGGTATATGTGGGTTTGTGAACCTCTGTGCATTTAATTGCATATGCATATGATTTGTGGGCAGGGAGTAGAAATACTGAAAATGTGCCACATAACCAAAATGAATGATAGGAGATGGGGGAGGCATCCAGGGCTTTCTTTGAGGGATTTGTTTGTTTGTCTTTTCTCCCAAAACAAAACTTCTTTCTCAATTTTTAAAAAAGCCACATGTAACATGGAGGTGAAATTGGTCTTTCCTTGGAGGGTTATTAAATATGTGAAATTTTCCTCCCCCTTCTCAGACACATAATTGTCTGAAATAGTTAACAATAACCACAATAACCGTTCCAGGAACCAGCTGTTTCTTTCCTTCTTCAATGGGGATGAGACTTTTCTCAAAGCAGGGCCGTGCAGATGAAAGGCCGGTGGGCTTTGGGCATAAGGACTCCGAACACTCCATTCACCAGCCCCACAGTAAAGCAAAAGCAGCTCCACCCCCACCTCCCCACTCTGCCATTTAAGCCCAGACAGACAAAGTGTGGTGCCCAGGAGGTTCCACAGAAGGAATCAGGTGCCCAGGTGCGTCAGTGTGGAGTTGGGGGCAGGGGGTGGGAGCTCAGGCAGATGAAGGGGACAATCATGGGTCAGGAAGTGCATGATTTTTCTGAAGGAGGGAAAGGGAACCGTGTAGAAAGAATGGAGATTTGCGCTGAGGCTCTGATCAGAGCGTGGGAGTCCTGAACCTGCGTGTGGAGCAAGTCAGAGCACCTGCTGGAGTGGGAGTGGGCGTGAGGAGGCGGGGCCGCCGCCAGCTAGTTCCCGACGATGCCTCCCCACTTACTAGGGGGTGACCTCATCTTCTCATTCAGTGGACGTGTAGGTGTGTGTACTGGGTGCTTAGAACCGGCTTCTAAGCCTTGCTGCGGCTGCTGTTTCTCCGCTAGAGGGCTCTCCCACCAGGTCAGTCAGGGGCCCTGGAGATTCAGAGCTCTCTCGGAGTGAAGGAGCCAGGCCCTTCCTCTGTTTGCTGATGGCCTTCTCTGATCCTGCTCGTGTGGCAGGAGACTAGGAGGCCTTTAGACAGCCTGAGCCTGACATTCAGTTCCCGGATTAAGGTCCTTGCCCCCAGCCCCTCCACTGGACTCAGCCAGGAGAGCAGCAGGCAGTCCCTCTGTGCTTTTCCCAGTTCAAGCTCTCAGAGTCACCCTCATCTCAGGAGGGGTCAGTGCCCCTGAGAGGGGCATAGGGAGGGGTCCTCTGCTTATTCAGTTCAGCAAATGCTTCTTGAGTGCCTCCTGTGCATGGAGCATTCTGCTTAGCACCCCGGAGGACACGGGCATGACTCCTACCCACCAAGACGCCCTGTCTATAGTGGGGGCATGTTGTCAGTCTGCTTGGGCTGGAAATAGCAGAAACTCACTGGAGCTGGTTTAAGAAATTGGGGCTTTGGTATAAGGACGTGGCTGTTTTAAGAAGCCGCAGGGCAAAGCCTCAGCAAGGAGCTGAAATCAGGGAGGAAAAGCCAAGCAGAGCCTTGAGGGCCACTCCCTTTCCATCTCTGCTGGTTCTTATATTTTGAGTCGAGAACATTGCTTTGCCTTGTCCCCTCTTCCAAACACAAGATGTAAGCTGAGTGTTGAGATTTTATGTCGTCTCTACTCAAGAGACCCACCCAGACTACACTGGGCAGTTCTAATCCCAATCAGAAGTTTCCAGGAGAGGCAAACTGATTGACCTAGCTTGTGCCGTGCGCCCCTTCCCGGCCCAGCCAGCTGTGTTCCCGGCGTCAGCGTCACCGAGTGCGGCCACGGGTGTCAGGACCAGCCCCTGTGAGCGGGGGAAGGGGAGGCAGTTCTCAGATTAGGAGGAGTTTCTGTGACACCTTCCCCTGGGTGGTGCCCATGGGCTCAGCAGCACAACACGATCGGGAAGGAGAAGACAGCGTGGCAGGACTTGGGAGCACTGCCGATGCTGGAAACCTCAGTTAGGAGGGGGCCTGGCTGGCTGCGGGTGGTTCCCAGCCAGCCTCACCACGGTCTGCCCTTCTTCCAGGGACATGGGTTAAACGAGAAAAACTCTCCCGAGGGACCCACGTGGGTGTAAGTTAAG